GCTACTTGAGGCTCTGCGGTTAATGGGACTCACCTGTGGGCTACTTGAGGCTCTGCGGTTAATGTGACTCACCTGTTGGCTACTTGCTGAGGCTCTGCGGTTAATGTGACTCACCTGTTGGCTACTTGAGGCTCTGCGGTTAATGTGACTCACCTGTGGGCTACTTGAGGCTCTGCGGTTAATGGGACTCACCTGTTGGCTACTTGAGGCTCTGTGGTTAATGTGACTCACCTGTGGGCTACTTGCTGAGGCTCTGCGGTTAATGGGACTCACCTGTGGGCTACTTGCTGAGGCTCTGCGGTTGCTGTGGAGACACGTGGTGGTGGGGACCGCCCCCCCCCCGCCCCCCCCTGAGGACCGGTTTGGAGGAGGGAGGGCAGGGCGGATAGTGGTGGGACTGATGGCCAGCTCGAATGGGCTTAGCTGCACACACACAGGTAAGGTAAGGTAAGGGGGGGGGATGGTCAATAGCAGGTCAGCAGCACCAGGCAGAGCCCAGCAGCAGCTCACCGATCTGAGCCGAAGGTCCTCGTCTGGACACGTTCTTGCACCGCACCGCCTCTTTGATCCGGTCCACCTCCTGCTGGTAGCGCTTGCGCTCCCTGGCCGCCGCCTCCTTGGCGTTCTTCAGAGCGGTTTCCAGAGCTTTGACTCGCTCCGCCGTGGCCCGCAGACGCCTGTCCAGCTTAGGCAGCTCGCAGCGCAGGTCTGCGTTGTCTCGAACCAGCTGCAGAACACGGGGAGAAATGGCACAAGGTTCTTCTGGTATTTACGATGTGACCTGATCGACTGCCGGACCCTGTAGTGAGTCCATCATTTAAATAAATCAGTATTTCCCAGCTCTGAACAGCTGAAAGGCAGAATTTGGTATTGTACATTCTTAGCCCTAACAATAAATTCCGAACTTTCAGAAATTTGTGAAGGATATTGAACAGATTCCTGGGTTCGGTATCATTAAGAGGTTTGGATGAATCATAGTTGTTTTTTTAAATTCAAAGTAAAGTATTGATCATTTGTCCATTAAAAAGATAAATAGCATTCAGGTGAAAAATGTCTCCTTTACAATGAGGGACTGATGGTTAATCTGCCACAACACCAGATGAGATCTGGACTCACTGACCTGTTTGTGGACTTTGCTGAGCTGCTCCAGGTTGTTTTCAAGGAATATGATCCTCTGTCTCTGAGCCAGACTGCCCCCGGCCTCGTCACAGTCATTCTCTGAACTCTGATTAAAGCAGTGGAGAAAAACTTTACCGATGACATCTAGACTCACAAAAAACAGACGCTTCCATTGAAACCTCAAGAGGACTAGACATGGTGGGTGTGGGGTTGTGAGGTGGGGGGGGCCTTGCCCTGTCATTAATGCCATGGATTCTTTAACGTATCCACACACTGTTGAGCAGATCATTCAATTATCTCTACTGTCAATATTTAAGTATATTTTACAGATGGCTGGGAGGAAAAAATACACATGCTCCAGGGTTTGTATTGCCTTATCCCATTCATATCTCTGCAGAGCTCATAGCTGGAGCAGAGCTCTGTGCTTTCAGGCTGCAGGTTCTGGTTCTGGTTCTGGTTCCTGAGTTTTTAAAGCAGAACAGGAGCCCCCTCTCCCTTTAAGATCAGAATTTCCTTTTTTACAGAGCTGATAGTTAGAGGTGCTCAGGGATCCTGAAACAGCCCGTAGTTCTGCTGCTATAGGCCCAGACTGGACCACATATCCAAATATTAGCTCTGACTGACAGGACGGATTTCTGGCTTACATTCCCGACCCGAGAGGCCATGTCCTGGATGAAAACCTTACGCAGGTTGGTCAGTGTCTGCAACTCTTTGGCCTGTTGGATCAAAAAGAGTAGTTAAGGTGATCTCAGCTCTGCCATGATGAACAATTAGACACGAGCAAAGTGTGTCCGCCGTACCACCGTCTCCTCCAAACCCTTCAAGTCCTCTTTGGCTTGCTCTCTCCTCTCGTTCAAGATCCTGAGTAAGAGAGCAGACAGAACAGCTCTGTGGCGTAACGAAACCAGTAGAGACCGGGTGAGCTGTAAGAGTGGGAAACAGTGAGCGGGTATCTTACTGCAGCCTCTGGAGCTTCTGCTCTTTGTTCTGATCCTCAGTTTTCAGTTTGTTCACATCAGACTGAAGCTTCCTGTTTTCCAGCTGAAGAGCCTGACTCACACTGAGACAAACACAGTATTCAACTTAACAAGTAAACCCCCCCAGTCTCAAGCAAACGCACCAATAGCTACTTCCAGCCCACGGTGATTAGGAACATACTCTTTGAGTCTGTCGATGTCTCTCTGTTTCTGCTCTATCTCGTCTCGGAGCCGACTCAGATGTTTGTGATGAACTTCTCTGTGGTTTTCCATTTGCTCCTCCAGGGTCCTCTACACAAGAGCCCCCAAATAAACACTTCAATCAAATACCCAGTTTGACAAATGAATCAGTTTAACAAATGAATCGGTTTAACCAACTTTAACTGACATTTTCATCCTGTTGTATATAGTGTTTTGTAAAGTGGACCAGCTGACCTGAGACGGAGCAGATACACGACCAGCTAAAGCCAAACCTAAAGTCAACCTGCTTCCATGCAGTAACAGCTCCACATCAAGAGCTCAAGCTGGACAATATTCTGGTTTTTATTCAGTCTTTACGCTTATCAAACGAAATAGGCCACACTAGCTCACATTATTGATATTTAATCCGGTTTGTATTTCTACCTATTGTATTTTAGGGTGACGATGGATTAAAGTCATATTTATCAAGCTGGTTTTGGGTTGAATTTGTTTGTCTGACAGAAATGCTTTATCTGACGTGGATGATGGGATGTGTCCTTTTTAAAGGACGATAGGTTGTCATGGAGCTCATCTTATGTATGGTTATTTTAGTTTTTGGTGTGTTTTTGGATGAAATCTGATTCCTGTTTGGTTAGTCATTTATTGCTTCAACATAACAATCAGTCGGATTTGTTGGGAGAAAAAGGAGTCAGGATTCAGAACAGTTTAAATGGTAAGAACCATTGACGAAGTTGGAGATCAAGCCAAAGCCAAAATGAGAGCCTAAACTAAAGGCTAATGTTGTTGTGGTACAGAAAGCTACACGGGGGGGGGGCTTCAGGGATTCTGGTGGATAAAATCACCAGATTACAATCACCCCGATCAGTTTAATTTCTCTTAGTGGTAAATGAAGAGGGCTGAGGTTTGTGGAGTTGGGGCCCATACTGTTGCTTCACAGTCCTGATTTATTTGTGGAGGGTGCATGTTCAGGAACAGACCTTCATCTCCACAGCGTCCTTCAGTCTGCTCATGTGCTCCTTCTCTTTGTCCATCACCGTCAGCTCCTGCATCTGACCTGAAGCACACACACGGGTTAGCATCCCATTCGGTCTCTAAGCTATAGGCTAACCAGAGCGCAGTGTTTCAGGTTAGCATCCCCTTTGGTCTCTA